TTCAATAAGTGATAAATCTTTCTATCATTTTCAATTTTATCGGATGTTCCTTGAAGGATTAATAAGTAATAATATGTGCATCCTTTTTAAAGAAAAAACCGACGGTAGCCGGTTATATGCGACACCAGTACATGGCCGACATAGCAGAATTCCTCTTGTTTGAGATCATGATTTTTTGTTTTTGTTTTTGGAGCCTTAAGCCCAAAATCGTCGACGACCTTTCCGGGAATGGATCAGGTCAGTAACCTTATGGTGAGTAACAATGAGTAACCCGTCCACATCAGCATGCTCTCTCTCATAGAAAGCCTTTAATTTTTCCCTCTTTAATCTTTGACGGACGATTTCTCGCTCATTTTAAGTCGAAATTTAATTTTTTTGCACAGTTAGATCAAATTAATTGTGCTCTTCAAAATGATATCCACTTTAATATATTTTTCGAACAAAAAGAATTGAGCCATTTTTTACCAGCCTATACCATATGGTATTGACTGGTATTGAAATAAAAGCATACCTATGTTTTGAAAAACGTACCATGGTGGTATGAACAAACCAAATTGTAGGATGGTTGAATACATGATAGTAGAAGTATATTAATTGTAATTTACGACTTTTAACATTGTATACAACACAATACCACCCCGTACCAGGGTGGTATTGTATGGTATTGTGTGGTATTTTTTGGTCCTGTAATTTGTTCACCCAGAAATTTGTAGATCCAATAGATCATGATGAACTCGTCCCTTCTGTGCAAACGTTTTCAAAAACGAATTAAAAACGAAGAATATACCATACAATACCACCCCGTACCAGGGTGGTATTGTATGGTATTGTGTGGTATTTTTTGGTCATGTAATTTGTTCACCCAGAAATTTGTAGATCCAGTAGATCATGATGAACTCGTCCCTGCTGTGCAAACGTTTTCAAAAACGAATTAAAAACGAAGAAGATACCATATGGTATGCAGTTGGTACCGAGAGGCCAGAATTTTTTTTCCTAAAAAAATATTGAAAATTGATCTCATTTTGTAGAGCACGGTGAACTCGTTCCATCTGTACAAAAAAAATTAAAATCCGAGTTAAAACGAAAAAGATATGAGTCAATTAAGAAAGCTAGTGAAAATAAAAATAGCCTTTAATTCTCTATCCTTAGATCTGGATTTTCTAAATGAACGGTCCAGATTTGGTTATTGATGGGTGTATAACCCATGGTTATGCACCCTATCTTGAGCCGACCTTTCCTCCCATCATTCTGACCTAATAGGTAGGGATAGGATCAGGTGACTAAGGGGATGACTTAGTCACTAGACTAATTCAATCCCGATCCTCCATTTAAATTATGATCTAATGACTCTAGTTAGTCTCATTTAATGAAGGGTAAGATGATAATTAATAAATTATTTTATTTATCAATTAAAACAATAAAAATATAATGGGCCCGCTGGAATTTTTTTCCTTCCTCCAGCGGCTGTGTAATGTTTGTCGGTTTGATGTTTGTCATTTTTGTCTACTTTGTAATGTTTACATAATTAGAAACAACTTGGTTGATTAGAAACAAAAATAAGCAATGGTAAAGAAATGACGGCTGAGAAGTGGTAGATGAGAGAGAAAATGAAAATAAATAAAAATAAAGTAATTTTTCATAATACAAAAGTTACCCCTATCACTATTTAAAAAACTCTTCCCATTTTTAACAACTAGATTAGTTTGTCTAGAACTAAGGGTTAGGACGGGTTTAGTGAAGTGACAATAGATAGGGGTTCAAATGGTTACCATGGTAATTACCAAACCAAATAAGGCAAAATTCTATTAACTTACCATGGAATACAATATTATAACCAAACCGTCCAAACTAATACAACAACCAAATTAACCTAACTAAATTTTAATCGGTTTGGTTAATTGGTTAACCAGATTAACCAATATAACATCACATTATCATTAAGTGAGAAACTTTTCGATTATGCATCAATTCACAATTTATATGATGAATAAAACATTACATTGAACACATAGTTATAGTTATCCTTTAGATAAATACATGCAACTAATACTATTATCTTACTCTCAATAGAAGTATTCACCTAACAAAGGTATATGTCAATAGTATGGAGTTAATTAATTGTTCTGATGGTGTGAATTGTATTAGTCTCTTAACAATTATCATAGATTGAAAAATACATTTCTTTCAAGTTTTCATCAAATATATTGTATTAGTTTTATCTAAATTGGGCGTTCATATATCATGGTCTACACTCTACAAATACAAATATACAGTATATGAACTATATTGAGCTTTACTGTTGATGAGCCTATAAGGAAGAATGTTGGCTCTTGAATGGTTATGCCAAGTATTAAGTATGCATATATAATATATATTCGATATATGAATAATTACTTAATTGGTTAATTTGGTTTGACTTGTTAGTATTGTCTGAAACCAATCAAACCACCTAAACCAAACAAGCTAAATTTTTTAACCAAATCAAACAAATTATCCAAATTAACCAAATACTACCGATTAAAAAAGTTACCACGGTAACCACACCATTTGAACACTGTACATACCTGCGTCGGAATTAAAAAAAGGACAACCAAAGTCCCTTTCTCTTAGCGACCCCACCCTCTTGGCTCGACCTCCTCGCTTACACTAGCCGCCTCCCCCATTCCTCCTTCCACCGCTGACAACCTTTGTTGCTCTCACGGGTAGAGACAACTGTACTACAAAGATTATATTCTTCTGAGTCTCGCTTGGGTTTCGTTAGTCAATCAGATATTGACATTTTGTCCTAAGAACCAATGGATAAATAATCTCAAGAACTCCCAATAATTCGAGTCGGTCGAAAGAATTGTAATTATATATCTTATATCACTCTCTTATACATATTCTCAAACGAAAGCCAACTCACAGGATTGATTTGTGTACATACACACCATACATTGTCCTCAATTATATGCCAATATTGGGGTCATGGATATTCAAACACACAAACAACTATGTTATCATGTCATAAATCAGTTGGTTTCAATTAGTGGCAGAACCAAAATCTTGACGGGGTGGTTTAAAAAATATCAACTCAATGGATTTGAAATGTGGTAATTGGAGAGGGGGTTAAAGCCTTAGCAACGACCTTATTTTTCAAATTTGTTATTAAAGTTACTTATAATTTTACCTACTTTGTGAAAGTTACACTGGTTTCAAATGGGTTCTTGACATGTTTAGAGACTATGATGACCGAGATGTCTATGTTCGAAATTCCAGTGACCTCCATGTGTTAAGCACATGGTATTCAGACTTGTGTATGTGTCAACCCTATATGAGTTGACTTTCATTTGAAAGAGCTTAAGTAAACTATATAAGATTTATAATTGAAACTCTTTCAACAACTCGAATTGTTGTTACTAAATAACCAAAAAACTCGACAGTTTTGGGAAGAAATGTATGATTAAGGTTCAAATCAGGAGCCGCTGTTTTTTAGGGTGGTCAACCCTGTAAGAGTTTTCACCATGGTTGTCACGCTAGTGGAATGAAAACCAATTTTTTTATCATAACACCGACGTGATCACTATCAATATGATCGATTTACGGCCTATGACTTATGTCATGATTTATAAGTTAGACGTTGATGTTGTTTTTTTTTATTCAAGTAATAAAGTTTGGGTGTTGACGTTAAATGTTTTATATAAATGTAAGGTAATGACTGGTATACTCCAGTAGTATAGTATACTCCAAGTGATCTGACCGTTAGATCTACTTCGATGGGCTCGGATCAATCTCAATGGTCGATTATTATTTTGCATTAAATTGAACCTCGGGTTTGAGTTTAGAGAATAAGAGCCTGAGGTTTATCCAATAGAGGTTAAAGTATAATATCATATCTCAAACTCGGTTTAATTCATGGTCTAGATAGAGATATCTCACTAGGAGTACCTGAAATACAGTATACTCTAGGAGTACACCAATCTGACTCATAAATATAAATATAAATAGGGTTATATGTATAATATGCCCCTCTACTATGTCATTTTATCAAACATGCCCCTCTACTATTTTTTACATCAAACATGCCCTTGTACTTTGAGAAAATGATCAAACATGCCCTTCTGTTAAAATTATCATTGAAAAAATCATCAATCATGGTTGAACCGAGATTTAGACGACCCAACATCGGCAAATGGGAGGAAAATTTTTCAGTTTTGTCCCTTGTTTTATTTCCCGGATCTCGTTAAAGTGAAATTATAAGAATCATTTGGCTATACAAAAGAACCAAACAAAACTTTAAACTGAAATTATTAGGGATATTTTAGACATTTGTGTCTCCCAAACCAAAGTTTGATCGTGGTTAACCGTTTTTGGATGAAAATTTGAACATAAGGGAATGTTTGATAATTTTTCCGAAGTACAAGGGCATGTTTGATGTAAAAAATAGTAGAGGGGCATGTTTGATAAAACGACATAGTAGAGGGGCATATTATACCTATAACCCATATAAATATTTGTTATTTTGTTTGGAATGTTGTATTTTAATTAAATATGAATATAGTAAATTATCTTCAAATATGTTTTATATATACTTAAATTCAATTGACCTTAATGGTTTTTATATTTTATTAAATTGGCATAACTGACACAAACTGGTTGTACCACTAGCCGAATCATATCACTTATTAAACCGACACAACAATAAAAATCGGTTTGACAACCTTGATTTTCACATTCGAAGTTATCGTTTCCCCAGGTTGTGGGTCGAAGCCGGAACCATGTCTACCAACCGAACCCACTGAAAGTGAAAACTCAAAATCAAGGTTGTTAACCTGATGGTCGAACCGGTTTGACCCAGATCCGTCCATCAAAACGAGCTTCACAGACCCAGTGATCCTTCAGCCAGACCCGGTCACACCCGGCTGACCTGGACGGTTGGCCCGAGCGACCGGGTCAGCGGGCTGTGCATTATGCGTCATCGTTTCGCGTGGGCCAAGTGATTGTTCTGCTGCGCGAGTTGGATAGCTGGAGGCTGGGGCGGAAGGTTCGTTTGAAAATTGGAATTTGGAGAGAGCAGGAGAGTCCCAAAACCTAGCCCCCTGCGTTCTGCCGTTCTCCCTTCTCCGTCTCGCCAGAATCCGGCCGACTTAGCCCTACACGAGACCGCAGGCCGCCGCCTGCGTTCTCCCTTCTCCGTCTTCGCCCGCATCCCGCAGCAGTGCTTCTACCCGAGTCGGCGACCTCCCACGGCTCCAGCTCCAGCGGCAATCGACGACCTTCCCTCCGCCTCAGCTTCCGCTCGCGATTCGCGAAGGAACGAGTCCGCCGGTGACCTCCCTCGGCTCCAGCTCCAGCGGCATTTGACGACCTCCCTTGGTTTAGTCCGCCTCAGCTCCAGCTCGCGATTCGCGAAGGACCAGTCCTTGCCGAGCTGCTCTGCCTCCCTGGTTCACTCTGCCTTTCCCTGCCTCCCAGTCGGCCATTGCCTTCCCCTGCTAGCGATTCGTGACTCTCTCTTGTATTCATTATTACGGTAGGAAGCAGCTGCGCCTCGCATTGCTGAATAAGACCCTGGCTTTCCCTGTTTTATTCGGTTAGTAAAGGCTGGTTTTTTTTGTTGCTCTGGCTCTGCATTTGCACTTTGGACCTGGGTTTCTTGTCTTCCTTTTATTCTTCTTCCTCCTTATTCAGATGCTTACTTCCAAACTTTTCTTTGTAACCATAGATGACGGCAGTAGCGCACATTTCATTCGGATTATTGCCCAAGGTTACATTGTTTGGTGATAGAACGCCAGCAAAAGCTGGATGCTTTCTACCGAGGCGCCGCTCTTCTTCTCTAGTGGTATTAGCCATGTCCACCAGCAGCAACAGCGGTGTCCCAATCATGGTATGCCTATTTTATTATTGACTGTTCCTTCTTAGGTTTATTGAACACTTAATCTTAACGTCTGAGGACCGTGGCTCTGTTTACTAGTTGTTAGATCCATTGGAAAACTTCGTGTGTGTATTCAAGGTAGAGCTGGATTCTAAACATAATCTGACTGTGCCCTTCCGGGATTCCGATGCCTGTTCCCAAGTGACAATTTTGCTTGTCCTGGTCTTACGAAATCCAGCAATTTTAATTAAAGCAAATTCCAATTTCAGGTAAATAGCTGTAGTGGAAACATGGGGAAGGCTGTCATTAAAGCAGCAGATTCAGCTGGGCTTCAAATTCTTCCCTTATCATTTGGCTCGGCAGAGGAGTCTGGACATGTCATAGAAGTTTGTGGTAGAAGTATTGAGATTCATGGTCCTTCCACACGAGAGGCTGCCCTTGCCTCTACCTACGATGAACATCCAAATATGATTGTCGTTGACTATACAATTCCTGGTGCAGTGAATGGTATCACACGCCTACTTGTGATTTCAAAAGTTCATTTCTAAAAGAAAACTATATACGACATTGCTAGAACAATCACGTTTGTCCCATTGTTATAGTTTCAGTTTGCTGAATCCCTTTGGATGATAAACGTTTGAGATTTGCAGATAATGCGGAGACCTATTGCAAGGTTGGTGTGCCTTTCGTTATCGGAACCACAGGTGGAGACAGGGATAGATTGTACAAGACTGTTGAGGATTCAAAAAATTATGCTGTGATATCCCCTCAAATGGGGAAACAGGTGATTTTGAGTTCCATATCTACTTTACTGAAATATATGCATGTACCCTTTTAGCATGTCATGGTAAAGGGATATTTGTGGCAGGTAGTTGCGTTTCTTGATGCTATGGAGACTATGGCTGAAAGGTCACCTGGTGCTTTTTCTGGCTATAAGCTTCAGGTATGCCTTCTTTTATGTTCAATTTGGTAGAATCAGTTGCTTGGTTCTGGCCATAATCGCAATCGTCTGCAGTTGTACTCCTGTTCTTTGGAGAAGTTCGCTTCAAGGCTTTAGGTCATGATCAATATGATATGAAGAATAGTGGTCCAGTTCTCATTATAAAAATAAAATAAAAAAAAGAATAGTGGTCCAATTCTTCAGGCCATTTTTTGTCACCCCATAATGAAATAGTGCCAAAGCATGTTTTTCCAATAGGGTTGTAGGAAGTTGCACATCTTCCAATTGAGACATTCATTTGTTGGTTTCCACTTTTCATTTATCATATCCATGGAAATATGATCATAAATTCTACAAAAGAAAAAAATGAAATTTGTTCATAATGGTTGTACATATTGATCCTGAAATTTAACTTTCAAGATTCTGTTATTAATGCATGATTTGTTCCTTGGATATAACAATACTACTCTCCTCTCTTTATCAGGACAGATGAAACTCAACTAGCTCTTACATCTTCCCTTAATGCAATTTTCTTGCAGTGGCTCGAATCTAACTTGCAACCCATGTCATTACATTCAGGTGATGGAGTCTCACCAAGCAGGAAAGTTGGATGTCTCTGGAACTGCTAAGGCTGTAATATCTTGCTTCCAGAAACTGGGAGTGTCATTCGATATGAATGATGTATGCTATCAACCTGTTTAAACTACGTTTCACTTTCATTGCGCTGCCTCTTTAGTAACAAATGGATTACAGAAAGTCAATAAGGATCAAGCAGTCTGAGAGGAATCTTTTGTCTTGACCTTTCTTCAGGTACAATTGATTAGAGACCCGAACCAACAAGTTGAGATGGTAGGAGTTCCTGAGGAGTATCTGTCTGGTCACGCTTTCCACATGTATCATCTGACTTCACCTGATGAGACGTAATTCTTTGCTCCCTCTCATATCTACTCTCCATGTGCTCTACTTTTTGTTATCTCGTCTAAGGATAAACTAAAACATGGTTTCTTTCAAATGCAGAGTTTCCTTTGAGTTTCAACATAACGTATGCGGTAGGTCGATATATGCAGAGGGTACTGTTGATGCCATCATCTTCTTGTCAAAGAAGGTTTGTAAATATAATTATGTTACGGAGAGGTGATTTGAACAAAGTAAAACTCTCGATTGCTTACTTTTTCCCTGGGTTTTTGAAACTCTAGGTTATGTTGAAGGCAGAGAAGCGGATCTACAATATGATTGACGTACTGAGAGAGGGTAACATGAGATAGACTGTTTGGATAGTGGAAGGAATAGTTTAGTTAGTCTCTGAAGTTTTGATCCGCACCAATGAAGAACTGATGTTAACCAACGTTGTAATGAGGAAATGCATCCCCAAGATTGAAGGCATGCGCAGAGCTATTTCAAGCTTGAAGCTGCGGCAGGCATGGAGGCTAATGGTGATTTAGACTTTTAGCATTACAAATTCAGAATCTGGAGTCAAGACATTTGTTGGATATTCTTCTTTGTTTTGGCGATGGTGAACTTTTCAGGCAATAAGATGTTGGAGTGTACAATAGGATTGTCAATTCACAATGGAGGAAGTCAAGAAACAGTTCGAATTTTTTAGTATTTCAGTGCCAATCAATCCTTGATTTTGGGTCTTTCATGCGCAAACAGATCGTTTTATTTTCCTTTCCGAATCTTGAATGCTGATCACATCCTCATAAACAACCAACAAGATGAGTAGATGACCAATAATGGGATACATGCGTATAGGACAGCTAAATGTCACCACCAATTTCAGTTTTTTCTTTTACAAGTTTTAAGTGTCAATGGTTGCGACTTGCGAATATGCAAAGTCATTAGCTACCGTAAATGGCTTCAAATCACACCTGGCTCTAGTTCAACTCGTTTAGTGTGCTCAAAACTAGTTATGTAATCACTTACAAATTATATCTGCTACGAATATAGCTAAGTAAAACTCAATTCAAATTTGACTTGTTTATTGACGAGCTAGAGCTTGCGAGCCATCTGAGTGTTCAACGAATATAGCTGCTACGTTTAGTTGTAGTCCTAGATGAGATTACTGAATTGATACACAATGTTATCGATACACAAAACACAACATAGCTGCTATGCTATCATTGGCTTATCAGCGACATTAATGACTTCCAGAGCAGACTAATTCTTTTCCAGCTGTGCCAACCTTGGAGCTTCAAAGTGGAATATGAGAGACCATAGCAGCCTAGGCCACAGTTCGCCAAGTCCCCACCTGTGTTTCTGTGTTCTGGATTACGATTATGGATGGGGGATTGCAGCCCTCTACTGAATAAAAACCATTGGCTAAAAGCTTGGAAACGTGGCAACTGTGAATTGACAAATCACAAACATTCCCTCTACCTAAGCCCCAACCTGATTGCACTAATGGGTTATCCCTATCAAACCCTTTCACCTTCAAATAATTCTCCCTCTCCCACTCTCTCTCTGCCCCTGCTACTGTGCAAGTACAGGGACAGGAAGAGTTGAAAAGAAGACTCAACGACTCACTTGGCCCAACACTTCAATTGCAGCCACTGGTTTGCATTTCACATTTATGAGGGATCGATCATTCATTCTTCTTTCCCCACAGTTGTGATTCAGGAAACCAAGGATCAGCCATCCTTCATCCATCCACCTGCATTATATAAATACAACATTGTTATAGTATGGATGACTACACTGCTGCTAGAGGAGGGTGGTGGGTTCAGCAGCTATACCCTCATCAACAAGCCTTCTTCACCATCACAACGATGAACAGCGCCAAACTCACCTCCCTGCCACTCGTTCGAAGCCAAAGCTCCTCTTCCTCCTCGGCCTCAGGCAGCAATTCCGAGGATGATGGTCCTCAGCAGCAGCAGCAGCAGCAGCGACAGCAGAGCATAGTGGTTCCGTCCAATGGCATCGCTGCTGCGCTAACTGAAGCTATGGATAACAAAGATCAGATATGGTAGGGAACAGCAAAACCAACTAAACATAACTCTTTTTTCGAAGTCTCGGCTTCTATAGCGTGCTCCCAGTAAACTAAAGCAGCGCATCGTCATCTGTTTTACAATCTTTCCATTTGTTTCTCTCACTCAACCCATACAATTCAGTCCTTTCTAATCGTCCAAACTCATGCAGGTCTATCACTCCTCAAATCCCAGCAGATTTATCAGTTCAAGTGCAAGAGGCTACATTCACTGTTCACAAGGTAAATTCATTCAACTTCGGAAACTACAAATTAGCAACACTTGGTCATGGCTATGCATAATCATACCACCTCCATATCTCTCTATCACCATCTTTCCTACCGTTATGCAACAACAACGAATACTTACATGCAAATGAAGTTATCAGAGATTCAATTAGGCCTGGAAAGGATCTCAAATTATAAGCAACAGTTAGGTTCACCACTCTTGTGCCCCTAATGCCAACACCAACTTTGTAAGCCTTCCGCATGATAAACACAGTGTATTAGCATATATATTATATACCATACAGAGAAGATCCTGTCGTCTTTGAAGGTAAGAAAGCCACAAGCTTAACATGATTATTTACTGTTAGATTGGACACATATTTTACCAAAATTACTCACTTAAACTAAGTCTTTTCTGCAAAACAGTACCCCTTGGTATCAAAATGCGGCTACATAGGGCGGCTCGAACTTCAGCCTTCAATTTCAAACTTTCCCTATGAAGTCAAGCTCGATAACTTCCCAGGAGGACCAGAAGCATTCGACGCCGTTCTAAAATTCTGTTATGGCCTTCCCCTAGATTTGAACCCTCAGAATATAGCTCAACTTAGGTGTGCATCAGAGTACCTAGAAATGAGTGAAGAGCTTGAAGATGGGAATCTAGTCACAAAGACAGAAGCTTTCCTCACATTCGTCATTCTCTCTTCATGGAGAGACACAATCACCGTCCTCAAATCCTGTGATGCCCTATCTCCATGGGTAGAAAATCTGCAAATTGTTAGGAGATGCTGCGACTCGATTGCATGGAAGGCTTCAAGAGACAATTTGACAACTACTGGGGAACCAGCAACAGCTAGTGACGATGCATGGTGGCTGGATGATGTGGCTACCCTCCGCATCGATCATTTCATAAGGGTCATAACAGCAATTAGGGCAAAGGGAGCAAACCCAGAGGTAATTGGCAAGTGTATAATGCGCTATGCATCAAGATGGTTATCAGGAATGGATGATGAATTAGAAGATGTAAGAGGCTATGCAAACCAGGGAAAGAATGGGTTGCAGTTCAGTGTACTAAGTGGGAGGAGAAAGGAAGATCAGAGTGCTGGAAGCAACAAGGAGAAGAAGGCTATCATTGAGAACCTAATAAGCATCTTGCCTCCTAAAAAAGAAGCTGTACCATGTAGATTTTTATTGGAGATGTTGAAGATGAGTATTGTTTATTCTGTATCGCCAGCTTTGATCTCACAGCTAGAGAAGAGAGTTGGGATGACGTTAGAGATGGCCACTGTGAACGATTTGCTGATCCCTAATTACAAAAATGAAGATCAAGGGAAGCTACTAAAGTACGTTATCCTCACACCATTTTCCTTGTTTCCTAATGATAAATATATTATTGATGGACTCTACACTAATTCACATTACTTGTTGCACAGATCACCTGACCAACAACGCACAATGCACAACCTAGATGTGGTACATAGAATCATAGAGTATTTCTTGATGCATGAACAGGATCAGCAGCAACTACAACCAACGCCAGGGAAATCAAGTGTCAGTAAGCTTCTAGACAGCTATCTAGCTGAAATTGCCAAGGATCCGAATGTATCTGTCATCCAATTTCAGGTCTTGGCTGAAGCACTGCCAGAAAATGCTAGAGCATGCCATGATGGCCTGTATAGGGCCATTGACACCTATCTAAAGGTTCCTTACTCTTTCACTTTCTTTTAGTTTGTAAGACGACCAAACAATATATAATCATACAAAAAGAAATTTTGCTTTCCTTTTCCAGACTCATCCTTCACTCGCAGAGCATGATCGTAAAAGGGTTTCCAAACTAATGATTTGTGAGAAACTATCCATGGATGCCTGCATGCATGCAGCACAAAATGAAAGGTTGCCTCTAAGAACCGCAATTCAGGTATTTTCTAAAATCCTACTAGATACTTAATATTAGAAATGAATAAAAGTAAGAGAGAAAGCGTTTTTGCAGGTTCTGTTCTCTGAGCAGATAAAATTGAGGGCAGCAATGCAAAGAAAAGAGTCAGCAGCAGAGAGTGGCAATATTTCAGAACAGGAGACACACCAAACAGAAACAAAATCGGAGATCATGACACTTAAAGCAGAACTGGAGAATGTTAAGACACGAATGGCAGAGCTACAGAAGGACTACGTGGAACTGCAGCTCGACTATGCTAGGTTAAACAACAAGCAGAAACAGACAGTATCTTGGAACTTGGGTTGGAAGAGAATAAGGCCATCCTCTCTTTTCCAGAGGAAAGCAGATGGGGAAGAAATAGAAGAAGGAAGGAAGAGATCCAATTCCACAAGCCGTAAACCCAGCTTGAGAAGAAGAATGTCCGTTTCCTAGAATTTGAAGCAACATGCCAAACATGCAGAATGTAACTGCAACCAGAGGCTCAAAAGTAATTTACTGTCTAATATGAACTCAATTCGACCCATTTGGTTCTTCTGAAGGGAAATGGTTAGCTAAAAGTATCAAATTGGGTCATCATTTTTTTTTTTGATAAATATCAAATTGGGTCATCATTTGAATGTAATCATTTGAGTCATGCCACATAATATGGCCAATGCTATTGCTTCTGTAGTGCTAGATTAAGCCCAAATTCAGTTTGAGAGAATGATGATGGTCATTGCAGTTCGCCACATTTCCATGGTGTCAAGCATCAATCAAACAGCAGGCTATCATATGGCCAGATAATCGAGTGAATTCATATCAAGATTCCAGTAAGAAAACAAAGAAAACCCCTAGAAGAAACAGCAATTCATGGCAAAAACTAATTTTATTCATACGCCTTTAATCGCACTAAGAACTTCCCGACAATTAAGTTCAAGAAACCCTACCGAAATGAGGTAACAAAACATACCAAACTCCTACCTACCTAGAAGTCCTCATGCTGCTCCAAGGGAACTTGAGCTTCTCCGCCGTGGCATCACCACGACGCCCCTTGTACCCTCCACCGCCACCGCGGCCGCTCACATCCCGATCCTTCTCCTCTCTCCTCCCGTCGAGCCAATGCTTCTTCCCACCACCATCCTCCACGACTTCCCCAGACCTCTGCTGCTTATTCATCCTCTCCTTCTCCTGCTCGACAACCTTCAGCGGGAACAAATCGGGAGATATGGAGAGCGGTGTTTTGAGGGTGACGTAGGCCTTCTTGTAGTCAGGCTTGGCGAACAGAATCCCGCCGCGCTTCTTCTTCTTTCCCTCCATGTTGAGCGTGCGGACCTTGTCGACGTCGAAGCCGTAGAGCGACTCCAAGACACGCTTGATTTCGATTTTGGAAGCGGAAGGGACGGTTTTGAGTGCGATCTCGTTGATGTTCTCGTAGGTCTTGGGCATTAGAAGCTTGATCGGAAGGTTTGCAAAGTGAATCACTCTTCTACCCAACCTGCTCCCCATTTCTTCCTCTTCTTCCTGCTATTTCTTCTTCTCCCAACTGCGAGTGTCGCTTGCTTTGTGTTCAAGCTCAGCTGAGCGGCTATGGCGGAAATACTAAGGAGGGAAAGGGATTCCGGATTCCGGTAGGAAGGAGTGGCGGAAGTAGAAATTGGGCCTTGGCCCAGCTCAAATTGGGCCTACCAATTCAGTGTCGTTGTGGCTTTCGCGCGGAATCACTCAAGCCCACTGGGGGAGTAAAAGCGGTTATTTTCAGTTACTTTTACTTACCCAGTGGAGACTGGAGAGCAGAGGGGAAAAGAAAGATTATGATAAAAAAGCGAAAAGGAATTCAATTCCGAATTCATTCTTCTTTCCGCCATTGCCACCGCTGTAATCTGCATCCTTGCCCGTTGCCAACCTCTTGCAGGAGAGAAAGACAAGGGTGGACCAATTTGATGGCGGGGAGAGTGATAACGGTGGCGCAGGATGGCACCGGCGACTTCACCACCGTGCAGGCAGCAGTGGACATTGTCCCTTTCGGGAACAACTTCCGAACAGTAATCCGAATTGGCCCAGGAGTTTACAGGCAGCCTGTGTACGTTCCCAAGACCAAAAATTTCATAACCCTGGCCGGTTTGCGTCCGGAGGACACCGTACTTACCTGGAACAACAGCGTCTCCAGAATCGATCACCACCAGGCACTAGCCGAAAATTGCATAACACCCGCTAATTGATAAGCCTTCCATTTTCTAATCCTGGGGCTTTGGTTGCAGGGGGAAAGGTTGATAGGGACGGGGACTTTCGGTTGTGGGAGTGTGATTGTGGAAGGAGAAGATTTCATTGCTGAGAACGTCACTTTCGAGAACTCCTGCCCAGAGGTAATGCTGTTTCCAACTGAACTCTCATGACATTCTGATTTTTGTCTAGGTTTACTTAGTTACGGATAATATCAGTGGGGGTTTTGATTGAGGAATAGAGAGTGGAACTTTTAACTTGGTTTGTAAGGTTGAGATACGGCTGTAGGCAAGCATATGAGGGGTTTTGATTTGTCTCTTCTAGGTTCAAACTGTTCTATCCTAGGTTAATCAAATCGTTGTTTCAGCTAGCTTTAGTGTAGAATCTTTTGGTCTCAAATTGCATATGATTATGAGGGTTTGTTTAGTGAAGCTGAAAGTGAAACCCTTTCTGCTATGTTTGATAATTTATGCTTGAAGTTCTTCAGATGTTCGTTTAGTTTAGGTTCGTCTAGTCTATATCTATCTTTTGTTATCAGGGTTCAGGCCAAGCTGTGGCACTCAGAGTAACAGCCGATCGTTGTGCCTTCTACAATTGCAGGTTTCTTGGGTGGCAGGTGGGTCGTTGTCTCTCGTTTTTTCTGTGGTTGTGGAAGATATCCTAAAGTTTGAAACTGTTACCTCCAATTAATTATGCGTAAATAAGTACGTGTATCGATTTCGCCGGCTTATTTGTGCAGGACACACTGTATTTGCATTATGGGAAACAGTACCTGAAGGACTGCTACATTGAAGGAAGTGTGGACTTCATTTTCGGAAACAGCACTGCGCTCCTTGAACATTGCCATATCCACTGCAAATCAGAAGGCTTTATTACTGCACAGGGACGGAAATCTTCTCAAGAGCCAACTGGTTATGTGTTTTTGAGGTGTGTAGTTCACTGTTTATAAAATCTTTTTTTTTTTTTGGTCAAATATAAAATCTTTTCTCTGTGGTGTTAACATCTCTGCATTGGCTGAGGTCCCTAATCATTCTATTATGTCGAATGTATAGTTCATATTTCGCTTTTTATCATGAAGTGCCGAACTCTAGAGACCAAGCAAGTCAAATCATTGTGTGTGGTTTGAATTGGCATAAACAGGCACTTTAACATTCTGCTGTTGTAGAATGCACCTACTCACCACTTGGTTTCATGCTAGGTGCTCACTTTCTGCCAGATTTGCTGCATAATTTTAAGTTTCAAATTTCAACATATGAGACAAGCTACAGGGGTCTCACTTGCCATAAGCTTGTATTGGTCCATAGTTCTGGTCGTGGTTGTCATCCTTCGACCAATTGGTAGCAGGACATCACTCGTGCCTTGGGTATATTGGTCTCTCCATGACAAATCTCTGTCTTTATGCAGATGTGTGATCACTGGGAATGGTAAGGCATCATACATGTATCTTGGGAGACCATGGGGGCCCTTTGGAAGGGTAGTTTTTGCATACACTTACATGGATCAATGCATCATACACACGGGGTGGAACAATTGGGACAAAGCCGAGAATGAGAGAAGTTCTTGCTTTTATGAATACAGGTAGACCCCCATAAGTTTTCTTCATCTACATCTCTCCATTCTCCATCCAAGTTTCAACCTTATAACGCCATCTCATGTTACTCATTGCATAAAGTGATTGCATTTTACTGTAACTGCAGGTGCTATGGGCCAGGTAGTTGCCCTTCAAAACGAGTTGGGTGGTGTAGAGAGTTGATAGACGAAGAAGCTGATCAGTTTGTGATGCACGGTTTCATCGATCCAAATCCAGAAAGGCCCTGGCTTGCCCAAAGGATGGCAGTGAGGATACCGCATTCTGCCTAGCTTATAAACTGTAACATGATGTTCACTTGTTGTGTGATCAATACATGCCGCAGGCTAAGGGAAACTCGTACCGTTTGAGGTCCTTGGAACTTTAGTGGAAATAAAACGTAGCCAAATAGGTGGGTAGAAGTTGTTGCTTGCTGCACTACAGTAAAACAACATGAAGAAGAGTTTCACAAGGCATGTGTTTGTAGCTTGAGCAGATTCCCTCCTAGGATTTCACTCAAGGGTGCTGCCTAAATCTTGCCTCCGAACATCATGATGTATCATATAACTGGCTTCTTGGTTTTGGTAATGAGAAGTACGTTGTTTAATACTTAGAAACTTGCTTCCTGAAGTCTGCTGTCTGAGCAGCTAATGATCAGAGTGTTTGCTTTCTATCGGCAAAATATTGCCGGCCAATCAACTCCGTTCTCTAAGCCTCTTGCAAAAGATTTTCAATTAAGATGGGAAATTTATTCACAGATTTGGATTTGAAGTGGTATTTCTCTTGCAATTGCTTTCAGTCTTATCGTTACCTTTCATCATTCATGACTATTGGGAGATTTTGTGGTAGTCGCAATCTTTCTGATCTCCCAAACCCCAATTAGGTAGTCCAATTTCCTGTGGGTCTGGCCTACATAATCCTCGCAACATTTCCTTTTCCAGATTTCGGAAGTCCAAACAAATTGACATTTGACAAGTGGACGAAACGACTTCTTCACTGTTATTATCTCTTGTTCACCTGAGAATGGAAAGAGAATGGGAAAGAAAGCAAAAGGAGAGACCAGAATAGGGGAAAGGCTGAGAAGCAGAGGAAAATGAGTGAAATTGCAGCAGCAGCAGGTTCCTTCCTGTCTCCATTAAACAAGAAGGAGCAGCAGCAGTTGTATATTGGCAACTTTACCATCGTGGTAGGGAGGAAACAATGGCGGATGCAATCAAGATCATCAAGGCAGCATGTGACGAGACAGATATCAGTGCGACAGCCTCAAACATACTCTGCAACCATCACTACCTATATACCTCTTCATGAATCACCATCTCCTGCTGTACGTTACAGCATGACAGTTCATTCACCTCTTCTACTTGCTTTTCTTCTGTTGGCTATCTTTTCTTTATGTTTTCGTGGATGGGTTTAAATTGCAGGCTTCCTTTGATAGGAATCTGGAGGACAAGCCGAGGGTTTTCCACGCTATGTGGCCAACTCCTTTGTCTTTTCCACGCTATGTTTCCTGACAAACAGAGAAGCCAACAGCTTAATGAGGTTGCTGTTTGATTCTTTCTGGATTTCTCTCTAATCCCCATGGAAATTGGGATAAAGTTGTAACCTTCTTTTGTTTGGTTGGTTGGCAGGAAGTGTGGAGAATCCAAATGCTGCCGATAAACTTCTTACTCCTGACAGTATGGCCAACTAGAGGTGGCAATTAGCATCCAAATCCATGAATCCAATCCAATCCATCCACCAAATTATCCACTTAATCCAATCCATTTAAATCCAATGACTGCTTTACCGTACCGTTAGGGCTGGGAAACGGTGCGGTCTGGTCCAGACCAGACCATATATACGGTCTACGGTCCAGACCGAGAGGCTAAAGTATAGACCACAGACCAGACCACAGACTATACGGTCTGGTCCAGACCACGCCTGTGCGGTCTGGTTCGGTCTGGTCTGGTCCAGATAGACCACACTCAACGAAAAATGAATAATTTGTTTAGTCAACCACACAAAAAATTGAACCAATAACCAAGAAAATAATTGTTATTTGCCTTAAAACATTAATCCTAACATGCATGAATAATTTTGATACTCTAAATCTTAGTACATAACAAAGATACAAAGTAAAAGCATCCCAGCTTGCACCATAATGTCATAAACATTAACATAATGTCATATGGAGACACGATTATCTCTACTCTGTGGTTAAATGTGGTTGTGAATGAAGGAGGGAAGAGATTCACAAAATTAAGGTTGAGACTTGGGTGTCGTTGTGGGAGTTTGGAGAGTGGTCGAATGGGCTGTTAACACGTATTGACAAGTCAGTTGGGTCTACGGTCTGGTCCGGTAAACCGCGGTCTAGACCAGACCAGACCAAGAGATCAAATCATAAAATAATACAGACCATGGACCAGACCAGACCATACTTCACGGTCTACGGTCCGGACCAAACTGTGCGGTACGGTTTGGACCACGGTTTTTCTAACGGTCTGGTCTATTTTCCCAGCCCTACGTACCGTGCCGGCCGGTTGAACCGGAAAAACCGGGAACCGAGCCATGAACGGTATGACGGAGAAGACTGTCGAAGGACTTGCGTACCGGCCGGTATTATCGGTGGAACTAGAGTGTCGCAAGATACCGTCCGGTTTTAATCGTGCCGGCGGTTCTTGGGAGACTGGCCAAATAATTTTTTTTAGAGACTGGCAAACCTTAGGGTAGCAGTAAAAAGGCTATCCAGTCTTCCCTCTCGCCGTCTTCCCCTGCCCCTAGCAACTGGCGCATCCTCAAATCGCAATCCAGCAGCCGTTCGTCCGTCGCTCGTCTCTCTAGACTCTCCAATCCAACTCGGTCCTTTTACTTGTCGCCACTCGCCAGGGCCGTTGTC